AATAATAATAATAATAATAATAATAATAATAATAATAATAATAATAATAATAATAATAATAATAATAGTAATAATAATAATAATAATAATAATAAAATAATAATAATAATAATAATAATAATAATAATAATAATAATAATAATAATAATAATAATAATAATAATAATAATAATAATAATAATAATAATAAAACACCCTACATAACCTCTAATTACCGCTATCAAGACTACATCGAATTTGGAAATGGAAAATATCGGTTGTCTTTTTCTTGTACATATCCAACATTCAAATTTTTCAAAAAATACTTCATTTTTATACCCTCTACCTTAAAAAGGAGGGTACATTAACATTTCCGTTTGTAACATCCATAAATATTCGTCGTAGACCCCATGAAGTATATATATTCATTATCAGCATAAAATTCAAAGTCGATGTAACGAAGTCCGTCTGTTTGTCCGTCCATCTGTCTTTCTGTTGAAATCACGATACAGCCCACATTTTTTGACGTAGAGCTTCAAAATTTGTATTTATATGATTTTAGCGTCATTATTCACCGGAATTGTTTCAAATTTGCTATTTGAAATCCGTCATGGATACTACAGTTTATGACAGAAAATTGTCAGTGCAGTTCCACGTTTTGTTATTGCCGCCATATATTGGCACCTCCCTATATCCTTTTTTTATGACTTTAGCTACATTATTTACCGATTTTTTTCAAGTTTCGCATTTGAATATTATGATTAAATTTACTTATAACGGTTCTTATTTTTTGAAAATTGCAAAATTCGTTCCAAATGGTGGAGGGTATTCAAGGTTCGGCCTGGCCGAACTTACAGCTTTTTTACTGGTTGAACTTGACTTATGCCGCCAAATTGGACAATACCGATCTAGACTCCCTGAAACATTTAACTTTTATAAAAATCAAAAATGATTTCCAGTTTTTTTTTTTCTTAAATTTCGCACCCTCTAAAATCCTTCTCATCATTATAATTAGTATGATGTTATTTTTATACCCTTCACCATTCTATGGAGGGTATAATAACTTTGTCATTCCGTTTGTAACTCCTTGAAATATTCATAAAAGACCGTACAAAGTACATATATTCTGGATCAGTGTAAAATTCTAAGACGAACTAGGGATGTCCGTCTGTCTGTTGTAATCAGGTTATCTTTCGAACGAATTGAGATAGAAGGCTAAAATTTAGCATACATGCATAGTTTACCAGTAGCCGTTTTCGTATAGCCCCAATATAACGGTACCTCCCAATATTCGGTATTTAGATGATTTCAGCAACATTATTAACCGGAATCGTTACAAATGTCGTATTGAAAGACCTTTATGCGTACTACAACTTATGGCAAAAAATCGTTTGCAGGTCCACGTCTTCGTATAGCCTCCATATGACGGTACCTCCCGATACAACGTATTTTCATGATATTTTCGACATTATTCACCGAATTTGTAACAAATTTCGTATTTGAGGTTCGTAATGGGAACACTAGCCTATGACAAAAAATTTCGTATGTTGGTCCAAGTCTTCGTATAGTCCCCATATAACGGTTTTCATTTAAGTGGTAGTTTTCGGATTTTTTTAAATTTTCCAATTTCCTTCGAAATGGTGGAGGGTATTAAAAGAACTTTGCTGATTTTTTACATGTTTGAGTTGCAAAAAATATGAAAGGAAATAATTTTAACTCACCTTAAATGTGGAGTTAGCGACATACATTCGTATCAAAATGTTGTGTCATGCCATAAAGTTCGACCGCCTACTTGGTCCCGATTTTATTGTGATATAGAACAGAACATATTCGATAGTATAAGTCAAATTGTTCACTTCCTTTTTTTAAAATATACACAAAACTTATATAAATTCTGAAATGGTGTTCTCAATTGAATTGTATATCACCTTTTCCCATTCAGCATCCTCCGCACGGAACAGGAGCATACATTATGCGCTCTTTCGTTCACTAATTTAAAGACTTCTATGGAATACATGGTCAGCTCCCAAATGTGTTTTTTTCTATAGATATCTACATATATTTGTTCAACATTTAAATAATACTTAATATTTTCTGGTTCTGCTGACCATTACTAGTTTATTATTTCCACAGTCCTGCATTTCCCAAGAAATGAATCATGTGCCAGTGCTTCTTTACACCACATACATTAACCTGACACATAAATAAATGTTAGTATGTGTTTATATTATGTACGTACATATATAAATAACCATATTTACATAAATAAACTTTAATTGCAGCTAAGAATCCTGTCAGGTATATTTCTCTACCCATACATATATATTTAGTTTGGTATGTTTTCTTCATTACCATACATGTGTGGTTTTTCCAGCAATGCACTAAAGTTTGCCAACATTGTACCTCAGCAGGTATGGTGTATTGTTTCCAACTGTTTTTCGGTCTGCTTCTCCTTGGGGAATAATGTATAAATTTCCATATATTTTGTTGTTTTTGGTTTAGTCTGTCTTCTGTTTTTATATGGACTTCTATTGTCTTTATTGTATTATTGGTATTTTCCATCCGGCATCCTGTTATTGTGTATTTTGTTGTACGTTTACATTGTACAGGTGATAAAAGCATTGGTTGTTTGGTAGGTGATGGACCACAAATAGGAAATCATTTCCCTTTGTTCCAAATAAGCATGTATGAATTTCTATGTCGGTATGGCAACATTATTCGCCACAGAAATATCATTGGATATTTTCCCATGAGATTGTTAGTTTAGATAATTTACTTGGCTTCGAATGATACATTTGGAATAAGGGATTGTTTATAACTTGAATATAATTGACTGTCGTTTTAGGTAGAATTATTATTTCATGAAATTTATTTTCGCTTTTGGTTAAACAATCAAGTCAGGGAATATGACTTACTCTCAAATTAGAAAAAAAAAAAAAAAAAAAAACAAGTAAAAAAGCAGCTAAGTTCTAAGAAGGAGCATGAACATTTTTAAAAAAAATTTGTCGAAAAATCCCGCTCAATAAAAACCTTTATATGGTTGGTTATATGGTTGCTATACTAAGACATAGACCTATATGGACAATTCTCATCCAGGGGGTAAAGTACTCATAGATAACTCCTTGTGTAGAATTTCAGACAACTCGAATAAAAAATGTGGCTAAAATCAGAAAAATACCGAATATCGGGAGGTTCAGTTATATGGGGGATATAGGAGTTCGTAGACCTATATAGACAATTCTTTTTCAGGGGTTAAAATAGGTGGAGGTTATAAAAACAAATAGAAAACAAGTAAGCAGAGGATATAGTGGTGCGGGAGCGACCATGTGATAGTCTACAACACTACAAAGTGTTAGAAGCCCCCTTATATTCAAATAAATTTTGGAAGATTTCGATTTTGAAATTATTTCATGGAGCACTGCCCAGATATTACCCTTAGCATTTTGACCAGGGACATTTGCCCAATATGTACGCACTCCGTCGTGCTGTTAGTTGTTGTGGTCCATTGTGGTCCATTGTACAGCTAAATGTAATCCAATGGTCATCCAAAATGCTAGAATTCTTCCCTGTCTTTATCACTCTTCTCAGACGTGTCGATTGGCTTCAATTGTGTGATCAGGAATTTTTTTCTGTTTTTGATCATCCACAAAATTAAGAGACCCCTCTGTATCTCCAATTTTAGACTCATCTATATGATATGATTTAGACTAATCAACATGATTGTCTACGATATTTGGCTATATTCGTCAACGAAATTAACATATAAAGCTATGAGTTCGCCTTTTGTGTATTTCGGATATAATCTGTAAGTAATGTTGGTATTTTTTCACACAAAAGTAGTTGTCCATTCTAACCGTTGCCCTAAGCTCTTACTTCATGCGACATTTCGTGTCCTTTGGTTTCTTTTTGTGACTTTAATAACGGCTGCAAAATCAGGAACATTTTTAGTTGTTGGTCCATTTCAACCCCTAAATATATTGCGGACATCTTTGAAAACAATAGGCCTAGCTCATCTGAGCCTATCTCTACCCTCGTGAAAATTTCCGTGAGGATCGGACGATAATTGCAATCTGTATATAATAACCCCAACCTGTGTTGGAAGGTGAAAAAATATTACAAAATATACACTTCAATATTATAACTCAAATTGAAAAAATCGCATGCGATAAATTATATGAAAAAAATAAAAAATGCCACAAAATACTACAAAATCTATTTTAACATTATTACTGGCATCTTTTTATGCTTTTGGTCAAAATCGGTCCAGCCATTCTTGAGATATAAGCATTCTAGCTAACATCCTCTTCCTTTTTACATATACATTGTATATATTTCGCAATATATACCACATATATTTACTATCGGTATTTATATAACGGTGAGAATTGACCTGTTCGTCTATTTGAGATTTCGCCGTCATTTAAAATATTCGCGGCTTAATGCAAAATTTGATTTTTATTTAACATAAATGTTATGGTATATTTCACCCACTAAATATTATCCGATGACCATCAAAATTGGAAGGCTTCTGCCCAGATCAGGATATTTTTTTAGCTTTTGATCCATTTCAACCCCTAAATATTATGCGATCATCTTCAGAAGCAATAGGTTTCTATTCTGGCTCTATCCCCACCTTCATTCTAAATTTCATGAAGATCGAGCCATAATTGCGACCTGTAGAGTGACTACAATTTAACACGGACAGACGGATTGACGGACATACATTGCTAGATCCATATATACTACAACTATCCTATGTGGGAAACCAATATTTCGAGGTGTTACATAATTTTTGGCCCAAAACATGGTATTGTAGGGTATAAGTACTACAAGTTAATTAAAAACATGTTTACATATACCCTTTTTGGGGCCGAACCAAAAAATTCGACTTACATTCTGCATCTTTATATTAGATCTAATGTAAATATGTGTTCATTTTCAGTCGTAGGTAGTGGTTCCCATTACAAACTCCAAATACTAATAACAAAATAAATTATTAAAAAAAAAAAATTCAAAAATATATATTTGGTTTATTATTTGTGACTTGTGTTTGAATGGTGATTGTTTAAAGAAAAAATTATTATTAACTTAAATGCACTTCACAACTTGGTTCATTGAACAAATCAGAAAAAAAGTAGTTTCGAGGAATATTTGGATTTTCTTCTTAGACAATTAGTGTGCTGCAAAATTATATATTACCACACATAAATTAATCTCACAAAATTGGCAATTTTAAATTCCAATACAAAAATACTTTGGTTAAGTACAACAACATTTTGAGTTTCAGTGGAAAATTGACAAAAAAAAAGAGATTCTATGCTACCTTAAATACGAATAACATGCAAATAATAGTTATAACCGTTTGTTAAAATTCTACGAAATAACGAACACACGTGCAATCCTGTATTGAGATAAACTCACACTCTCTCATACAATAATTGTTCTTTTTGTTTCTTTTTCTTCTTTAATTATAATAATCCGCCACAAAGCTAACAAAATTATCACGTAGTGGTTCAGCGCAGGGATTCAAACCCCAGAAGGCTCCATGACAACCGTTCTGTTCAAAACACGAATAACGTATTTCCGAATTACGATTTGAACAGCAGTTGACAATTGCCCATACGCATTGTGAAATACCAGCTGGTTCGGTGGCTGGAGGGGCAGCGGCTGGTGGAGCTACTGTTGTTGTACGCACATTTGTTGCCTGCTGCGATACCGCCGATTGTCCTCGATCTGTAATGAAGTGAATTGTAATTGATTTTTTATTGGAGTTTTATTTGTTTATTGGTGGACATTAGGTACTTACTGTCTAAAAAGCTGAAATCAAAATTTTCGGGTCTTGGATCACGGAAAATGGACTCTGGTGGACGGGTGGCCATGGGACGACGATTGAATAATGGTACTGCTTCTGTTGTGGGGGGTGATTGGGGGTCTGAAAGTAAATAAAGTTAAATATACATTTCTATTATAATGATATTTTAGAAATTGTATCTCTGATAAAATGAACGGCTCGGTCAATAATTTGCAAAATTATGATCCTGTAGGAACTTTATCTATGAGATAAGGGAACGTTATGATCACTTTTCAGCTAAGTTCTTTTTTTCCGAGAACATCTTAGATAATATCCTGATATACCTAAAATATCTGACATAATATCTGGCTGAGTCTTTCACTTTTAAGTTTAGCGATAGAATGATGACCAGTTACATCCTCTACCTTAAAAATAATGTCAGGTAAGTTTTTCAATTTAGAAGATAATGAACAGTTGGGTCTAATATTTTTAAGTTAGTGGTCGGTAAGTTCCATTATTTCTGAGGTAATCGCTAAATTGCTTGGCTGCCTCTAGTGTAAAGTTACTTAAATTATCTCTTTGAGAAATTAGGCCTATCAGCAGATCAGGTCCAGTATTTGTATATTGACAACCGATTAGTTGATCTGGAATAATATTCCAAAATCCCTAAGAAAATTTTAAGTTAAGCTGTCAGTTCGAAGCCATTCGTCCGCCAGCTGTTAAAATTATTCCAGTGGCAGGAAAAAAAGTTATTCGTAATGGAACTCAAGCGTGATAGTGTGATTTCTTTATATTTGGCTGGAAAAACACAAGTGGCTATCGTTAGAGCACCCCAGCATTTAAATGTAAATAAATCTTTTGTGTCTCGTACCATCGCTCGTTGCCGTGATACTGGTAGCGTAGTCCGACGTCAAGGAAATGGACGAAAAACAAACAGCAACATCAGCTGAAATTGTTCGAAAAGTAAAGAAGCGACTTGATTGAAATCCGCGTCGCAGTGGCCGAAAAATGGCTCGTGAGCTGAACATATCGCAATATTCTCTTCGGCAAATATTGAAAAATGAGCTCGGGGTAAAACCAAAATATGCATGAACTTACACCGCAACAGAAAGAAAATAGGCTCAAAAGAGCTAAAGAGTTGCTTCACTTGGCCGAAAGTGGTGAAGTGAAGAATTTGGTTTTCTCCGATGAGAAAACATTCATTGTCCAGTAGTTTGTAAACACACAAAATGATCGTGATCTTCGGCAAGTAACAAAGAGGTCAGCTGCCGGCCATGGTGATGGTATGGGCCGCCATAACAGCCGATGGTCGCTCTCTGTTCGTATTAATCGACCGTGGCATCAGAATAAATGTCGTTTATTATCGCGAAAATATTCTGGAGAGTGTATTAAAGCCTTGGGCACGCAAACATTTTGGCCTCAGACCTCGGATATTCCAACAGGACTCAGCACGCGCCATCCAAGAGTGGTTTCAAAATGAGGTTCCTTGCTTCATTTCTAGCGCACAATGGCCACCAAAATCTCCGGACACCAATCCGTTGGACTATTGTGTCTGGAGTATTTTGGAAAACAAGGTTGGCACTAAAAAATACCAAAGTGTAAAGCAGGCGTTTCGCCGGGAATGGGCCAAAATACCGCAGAGCAACATTCGGGCAGCGTGTGACGGTTTCATTGGCCGTTTGAAAGCCACAATTCGTGCCAAATGTGACCAATTCGAACAAATCTAAACTTGTTCTAAAATTTGATGCTATTTCCGACATTTTTCCTTTCATTCAATAAAATTTAAAAAAAATGTAAAAATTATGGCGTTTGTCATTGTTACAGTTTTTTTTATCTCACCCTGTATGTATATTAGCATTTTATGACAAATAATTTTTTGAAATAATATGACTTGGTGCGATTTCGTTTAGAGGACGTTTTTGAGCAAATTAAAAAAAAGTACCAAAAGGACCTCTTTTACCAAAATATTCCCTATATTTTTATACCCTACACCACATAGTGGTAAGGGTATTATGTCTTTGTGCATTTGTTTGTAACATGGAGAAGGAAACGAGTAAGACCCATAGTTACTTTTGAGAACCTTCATAGAATCACTTTCTGAGTCGATTTATGCATGTCCGTCCGTCTGTCCGTCCGTCCGTCTGTCCATGTATTCTTGTGAACAAAATGCAGGTCGCATTTATTATCCGATTGAGATGAAATTTTCCAAACAATATTGGCCCAAGGACGAACCCTATTGAAATTGGTGAGAATCAGATCAAATTTAGATATAGCTCCCATATATATCTTCATCCGATTTCGGGTTAAATGTGCACCAAATGTCCACTATCAGTCCAAATTACCTGAATTTTGGCACACCCAACCGAGTTCGGCCTAGAAGCAAGTATATCAAATTTGGAGAAAATCGGTTCAGATATAGCTATAGCTCCCATATATATCTTTCATTATTTGGTACCAGGTATTAGATGGAGCACAGGAATAGCTGTTTTAAATTTTATCGAAATCGGTTCAGATTTGAATATAGCTCCCATATATATCTTCATCCGATTTAGGGTTAAATGTGCACTAAATGGTCAATATCAGCCCAAATCACCTGAATTTTCGTACATAAGACCGAATTCAGTCTAGAAGCTAATACGTAAAATTTGGAGAACCCCGGTTCAGAGATAGCTATAGAATTAGATAGAATTATATAGATTTTGATTTTGTACCAAATATCTCATAGAGCTCTGAAATGCACTGTATAAACCTTTTTACGAGAGCTCTACTAAATATGCATAGTGGTGTAGGGTATCATATAGTCGGCCACGCCCGACTTTTGAGCTTTCCTTACTGGTTATCCGAAATATTAGTGAAGAGACTATGTAACTGATGTACACGGATTCCGTGGAATCTTAATCTGAAAATTTGTGGAAGAGGGGGGAACATACCCCCTCTATTTTGGTTACTTTTCAATGTAAACTTTCTAAATGCCGATACACGTGTCTTCTTTTGTTAGCCCTACTACGTTACACTGCCTAAGCGTTAAAATTAATTACATCTATGATAATAATTCCTATATCACTCAAAACACTTACTCATGAAGCTAAAATCGAAGTTTTCTGGTCGGGGATCTCGGAAAATCGATTCCTGGGGCCTTCTGGTGGGACGTGGTGTAGGTCGAGTTGTAGCTAAAAAATAAAATATTTTTTATTTTAGCAACTTAAAACTATTGTAATTTAATTTTGTAGTCACTTCTTGGGCCACTCGAAAAGATTACGCGATCATTCTCATCGGCAGCAATGCGAACGCCAAATTCCATTTTCGGAACAGGAATGTCTAGAGCATTGTGTTTCTTTCCGGGAACAGCGTGCCTTGAATATAAAAAAAAAAACAAACAATTTAAAAAATCGTCCTCTGAATGCCCTGCATTTAAACTCACTTAACATAAACATAATGGGTTTGAACTTGCTGCTGAACATCGGCGTTGTTTTGTGGCGCTTGATGTCTGAAAAAGGGATTACGTTTGCTACGCACAACATGGTCATCAGCCGATGCGCGAGCGGCAGCCAAGTCACGTCTTATGCGACGATGATATTTTTTGGGTCTCTTTAAGAGTTTATCTTTGGTAGCTGAGCTTTCGTCTCCATCTTTCACTTCTTGAGATGCTGGCAACAATTTAAATTGTGTTTTACGCGATCTCACATTACCATTCTCATCTTCTATCAGCAGCGGTGTTTCGGGCAAGAAATCAAAATAGATTTTCTCAGATTCAACATCGGGGCTGGGTGTGGTCCTGTGACGACGTCGATGTGTAATATCTTTGTATTTGCGCTGACGTTTGGTCGTGTTCTTTGTGGGAACTGAAAGGAAATGTTTGAGGAAAACCATTTTAATGTTAAGAGAAAAAAACACACTGAAATTCTTATATTCGTAAAACTTGTATAAAGAAATCACTAGTTTTAGAAATCTACAGTCACCAATATATGTCATTTTCCAATGATGTTTTTTTTTAAGGCGAAATACTCTTTTTTATACCCTCCGCCTTGGAAAGGAGGGTATATTAACAATGAAATGTCATTCCGTTGGTTTTTGTCACATTTTTTACGGATTTGTCGAAAAATTGGTATTTGTTGGTCATAATGGGTTCTACCTCCGGTGGCGAAACATTGCATGTATAGATCCAAGTTTTGGTATAGCTCCCATATAACGGTACCTCCTTATATTCGGTATTCGGTAAAATTGGTATTTGTGGGTCCTAATGGGTTATAGCTCCGTTGGGATATTCGGTATTTTGATGATTTTTGCCACATTTTCCCAAGAATATATCAAAAATTGGTATTTGTGGGTTAAATGTTTCCTTTAATCTAAGGTGGAGGGTATTGAAAGTTCGGCCCGGCCGAACTTAATGTTTTTTTTTTACTTTTTTCTTAAGACAAAAATTAATATATTCACGGCAGATCTTTTAAAACATTGTATTGAATGAATATCATCAAAAAGGACCCACTTAGGTGCCATCTGTAGAAAGAATACATTTTGGAGAACTTATATTAATCAATTCAAGCTTCCCTGGGACTTATCTACATTTATATGTATACACACATATATATATTTATATATATGTACATACACATACGTACATTGTATCCCCTTATTATTACTTACCATAATCTTCGTCAACAAAATCCTCTTTGTACATTATAATCGGATGTTCTTCTTCCATTTTGCCATCGACATATTTCACATGGTGTATCTAAAAGAGCGGGAGGGGGGTTAAGCAAAAAGAACAAAAATGAAATATACAAAACACTTTATTTTTAGTTTTAATTTTCTATGACGACAGTTACATAGATATGCCCATTATAGCCAAATGTATTTACCTCCAAATTATCGACATCCTTGAATTGCTCATCGACGCTGAAATGTTGTGGCAACCATTCATCCTCATCGGAGCTGGGACGGCATTCAGCCCACGGGGCGTTTATGGCAATCAACAGCAGGAGGGCAAATAAACATCGGTGAAATGGAAAACATTTCCTTTTTGGCCGGATATCACCACCAACAACATCTGTTGTTGTTGTTCGATAATTTCGTCTATGCATTGTGGAAATTGCTTGTAGTTGTTGTTCTTCTAATTTTTGTTGCTACTACTACTGCTGTCGATGATGGCTTCTCTCTGGAATTTTCTCTTCTTCGAGAATTCTTTCTTAGGAGTTGTACGTTTAAAATTTTTAAATTTTAAACTTTTTACTGTTCGTTTTGTTGTTGATTTATAAACGACTCTTCTTTGCTCCCCACTGTTTGGTTGAAAGCAAATGAAAGCTGACTGGCTGGAACCCCTTTTGTACGAAATATTTGTGTTGGCAGCAAACGTATTAACTTTTAGCAAATTGTCGGTAAAGCTTTTGCTTTTTCTGCTCCCTCGAATTTATTTTTGCTGTAAAAAAAGAAGAAAATTTCGAAAACGAAAAGTTATTTGCTGAAGAACAAAGAAAAAAGAAAAAATGGAGAAGAACAATTCTGGAGAAAAAAAAAAAAAACGAAGGAAAAAGTTAAAAACAAACTTTCCCACAACACGTAGTAAAAATACTCACTCATTCATAGTTGTTTTTTTTTTTCAAACTTAACATAAAGATAAAGGGCAAGTGAAGGAGGTTATGGTCAGAGGAGCCTAACATGACGATGCCCTACAAAAAGCAAATTAGGTTCATTATGAGGCTAATGACCGATTATATCCACTGAATCAGGGATAATTGCAGCCTTCTCTTACAATGTCGGTAGATTTCAGACCCATCCAACATTCGCTTATATTGTCGGTACATTTCGGAATCGTCTGAAGGCCTAGGCCATCGCTGTGTAAATGTAAGTAAAAATTGTATAGAGGCTTTGGATGAGTCGCGCCTACATTCTCCGTGGTCTCAGTTGGAAGAAGTATGTTCAAAAAAAATCGGCTTGGTAGTTAGGCTCATTATCTCTGTAAGAATGACCATTAGAGAAATTCATTATATGCCGAATTCACTGTCTGTGGTATAAGGGACAGTGAGTTGTATTAATCTAAGATAATAGTTAGTTAAATTCATTAGGTATGAGTTATTTCCCATATAGATCGCCAGAGAGGTTCTTTAATATTATGATCAATTAGTTTCAACATCTCTTAGAAAATTCTGTATTATCGACTATTATTTTTTACGAGTCAGGTCCATTATTTATGGAAAAATGGTGGTTTAAGTCCATTATTTCTCACATGTGTCGATTACCTATGCGACAATGGCTGCCTAGGACTATATTTTCTGATATAATTACAATCTATAACTGTTTAGAACAAACAGTGTTCTAATCTGACAATTGGAGCCCCTGCAAAGAGTGTGTTGGCTTCCTTTTGAACGATTACCAAAATTTTCCGGAGTATAGTCACAATTTTTCTCTGAGTTTGCCCAACTTCTGTAAATTTTGTGTTTGTATTATTGTTTAAAAAAAATATTTTCAAAATTAATGATTGGAAGAAAAGCGCTTTGCGGCGCCCAAAGTAAGGCAATAACCATTTTTGCCATGGAATTGAAAGATTGATCAAGTGGAATGCTATTTTCAAAAAAAAGAAAGAACAGACATTTCATTCATCTTTTATGCTTTTCAATCAATATTCAAAATATTGATTGATATTCAAAATATTGGTTGATTCTAATTTTGAATAGTATTGTGTATTTCGGTACTTTTGCGAAGCTGTTCTACGTCCATATTGTACCATGGTAAGTAGGGTTAAAATAATGAAGTGGTTTTGGAAATGATTGCTACAAGTGTATGAAAAGTCCTAAGAGGTACTAAATTCGGTATAAAATAAACGGTTAGTGCTTAAAATCTGAAATTTTGCAGTCGGGTCACTGTTTGTGCGTAGGGCTGAATTTTGGAGGTGGTTTCAAAAAAAAATGGTACCAAACATGGTATTTGAAGAAGGAACTGAGTTGGAAATCTTAAATTTGGAATGAGAGTCCTTGATGTTGCTTAGGATAGACACAACAAAGGGTGTTGGTGTGGGCCGCCATAACAGCCGATGGTCGCTCTCCTTTCGTATTAATCGAATATTATCGCGAAAATATACTGAAGGGAGTATTAAAGCCTTGGGCACGCAAACATTTTGGCCGCTGACCTCTTAGATGCTCCAACAGGACTCAGCACCATCGCCCTCAGCACGCGCCACCCAAGAATAGTTACAAACTGAGGTTCCTCGCTTTATTTCCAGCACACAATGGCCACCAAAATCTCTGGATACCAATCCGTTGGACTTTTGTGTCTGGAGTATTTTGGAAAGCAAGGTTGGCACTAAAAAATACCAAAGTGTCGATCACCTCAAGCAAGCGCTTCGCCGGGAATGGGCCAAAATACTGCAAAGCAACATTCGGACAACGTGTGGTGGTTTCATAGTCAGTTTGAAGACCATAATTTATGCCAAAGGTGACCAATTCGAACAAATCTAAACTTAATCTAAAATTTGATGCCATTTCCGACATTTTTTGCTTTAATTCAAAAAAATTAAGAAAATGTAAAAACTATGGCGTTTGGCTTTGTTGCAGATTTTTGTCTGACCCTATAATAAAAAGGTAATGTAGCGCCACTGTATCTATATTTTACAAATCCTAATATGCTACAAACTAACCTAGCGGTATAGGGCATTAAACAGTCCACCAAGTCCGTGGAATAGAATCTGTTTTGCAGATAGCATCCCATACCGGTTTGCTTAAAAGATATCATGATTACAACAGACCGTAGAATAGTCTGTGTAGGGCATTCAAACATAACAAAGTTGGTCTTCTTCACAATTACACAAGGAAGCCCTAAAAACTAGTTGATGGGAGAAGCAAAAACTTGTATTCTTTTTCCAATTTTAATTTAAGATCATTAAAGACCGAAAGACTTGAAAAAAAGCCGGGTAGCTAGTATTGGAAATTCTCCTGCAGCATGTTGAGCTGGGGATTTTCTATTCTACACAATTGATTGATTTTTTCGCTTCAATGAGTTATCTCTGTATGCGTGTGAGTGTGTAAAAATACATCATGTCTTTTATTCTTCCTGCCCTGTTTTGACTTCCTGTCTGTATTTCCAGAAAAGTTCGACAGGCAGCCAGCTTCATTAGTACTTAAATGTTTATTTAGTTTTAATTAAAACTTATAGACCTTTTTCTTTATCTTTTGTTTAAATTGGCTCAATTTTCTTTTCGTTTGTTTTTTGTGGGGTTCTTTTTGGTTTCGACAAATATTGATATTTGATTGTTTACTTCAAATTACCATTCGTAATTATTGGGCAAAAAGGTCTAAGGATATGTCAGTTACGTTGCTGTTTAACTTATGTCCGAAAAAAAAGAAATGATAAAATAATTTAGTAATTGCAAACAAATATACACTAAAGATGAGATCAAATATGAACAACAAATAAAACAGCGGGTTGGTTAATGGTATTGGTTCCATAAAAATACGCCTAAATCTATGCAACAAAAATTGCTAAATTAAAATAAATTTTTATACAATTGCTTGGCAATTATTTAGATGTGTCAAAATGTTTATTTGTATCTCATTATTTTCATAATTAAATAACAAGAAATTGTGTTCCAATTCAATTTTAATTACGCTACTGTTCATCCTGCCTCTAGGCGTACATACGACCATGTTTGTCCATGGTCCGTTTATGACGCACGTTTATTGACCTTTGATTACATTAAATTCTGTTTTAATTGAATTCAATCGAATCGACAGTAAATTGTATTTTCCACCCATAACCAATAAACGGATGTATCGAAATTCATTTGTTCGATACAATTTTATTACGAAAATTATGCTAAACGCTGGTCGTCGCTAAACAAATAGTATTTTAAGTTTGTTAATTTTAATTGAATTGAATTTGATGAACTGCCAACCATAAATCCCGCCTCTCTCCCCCCGAAAAGGGGAAATTGAATTTGAGTGTTTGCCACCGGCCAGAGGATGTAAATGCAAATATATTATAATGTGAGTTTATTTTCAATATTGCAACTAAAATTCAATTCAATGGTTTGGGGCATCAGTCGAAATGAAAACGTTATCGATTGACTAATTACGAAACAGTGTGAATGGCAAATTATTTTAATTGACGTGTTAAATTGACCTTCAATGGGTATAAAAGCCGGCGAAGCATAGACAAATTAGGAAATCCTTTTTATCACGGATCAAATATTTTCAATTTGAAGAGGGAAATTTTATTTTAATTAACCGACCCTAAAGAATTTGTTGCCAATTATGTTGCTTGATTTATATTCAGGCGCGTAACCAATTAACGTCTTCAAAATTACATGGTATTAGAAGGAAAACCCCCTTTTTGCATTTAGAGAAAAAGGCAAATAATAAAGCAGCAATGCCAAACGAAAAATTACAAAAAAAAAAAAAAAAAAATCTGTCAAAAAATACCGCTTAAATGAAACCCGTTACATGGCTTTATGAAGACATGGTGCTTCATTAGTAATGTATAAGTCATAGGCTGTAGTAACGGTTCCGAACGGTGAATTATGTCGCAAAAATCATGAAAATGCCGAATATCTGGGGGTACCGTTACATGGGCGCTATACTAAAACGTGGACCTACGTAGACAATTCTCTTCTAGGGGGTAAAGTACTCAGAAAGAACCCTTTTTTGTGGATTTTAAGACAATTTAATTGAAACATTTGGCTGAAATGGCCAAATCGCCAAAGAACTCCTTGTGCGTACTTCAGACAATTCCGTTGGAAAATGTGGCTAAAATCATCAAAATACCGAATATCGGGTGTAACCGCTATATAGGGGATATATGATATCGTGGAGCTCTATAGACAACTCTTCCAGGTGATAATGTACTCACAACCTATATAAATAATTCTCTTCCAAGGTATAAAGTGCTCACAAAAAAAATTCTTGTGTAAAAGTTCAGACAATTCCATTGAAAAGTGTGGGGATATATGATATCGTAGAGCTATATATATGTACGAGGAAGTATATATGCAAGGAACTCCTTGTGTGGAATTTCAGACAATTTCATTGAAAAATTATAAGAGCTATACGATATCGTGTACCCATATGGATAATTCTCTTCCAGGAGATAAAGTACACACAAAAAACGGCTTATGTAGGGGCTATACGATATCGAACTTGACCTGCCTGCAGACAAAAGACAGATCTGTGCAAAATTTTAGCTTCCTATCTAAATTCGTTTTGACTGTAGCGTGATTATAACAGACGGACAGGGCTAAATCATCTTAGAATTTTACGCCGATCAAGAATAAGAACGAGATTAAAAAAAATGCAACCAACTTCAGACTGCTGTCATTTCTAAGTCACTCGTCCGACAGCTGTTAAAATTATTCCAGTGACAACTCATTATATTGTTTACAAGCGCACAGAAGCATTTTGGTGAGAATTTTCCAGAAAAAGTTATTCGTAA